AATAATGATAATTTGTCAAATCCTGTCTGCCACCAAAGAAACTTCTTCTTCCTTCATTTTTAATGGCAGCTTGCATCCAAAGATGTTGCACTACTGCCATCTCCTGGGTTTTACTGTTGCATCGCTTCCAAAACCTTAGATCCTCTTGATGAGTCCAGTATTTCTCAAAAAAACACTCCTTTTCCTTCATCATGACTTAACCACTCAACTACCTTTTCAAACTTTTCTGCTCTGTAGTACCACCCATTTCTACCCTCAACACTCTCCTTTGACTGGCATGCTTCCTGCAAATAATAAGTACATGTTCAACCGTTTCCACCAGTTACATAAACCAGTCGAATGTTTCCCCATCCTAAGGAGAGTGCCATTCGGAAAACAATGACCTGTTCGTATTCTCCTTATTAACATCTCCTCCTGCCTATTTATTCCTCTACTTCTCTTAACTTCTATTGTGTGTTGTACCCTATATAAATCTCTCCCTTTTACTTCGCTACGACCAAGTCAGTTTCCATAAATTCTTACTTTCTTTCCAGACTATACTTTTGATATCTGCACATCAACATCTACTTTTTTAACAGCTTCTTTAGCCAACCTATCTGCTCCTTCATTACCCACAATACCTATATGTTTACCTATACCTATAGTTTTATTTCTAAAGCGACAAATCACAACAACAGTCGCCTCAAGGCACTTTATATTGTAAGGTAGACCCTACAATAATACATTCAGACAAAAACAAATAAATAATAATTCCACCAATTCTAAAGCCAACAGTATGGCATATAACCCTACTGCATATATACTCAGAACATTTGATGGTCTTTTTGCAATTTGATACGGCGTAGGTCTGCTCCAAGCATACTACATTTAACTGATGTGGATAGGGCCTGTGCCACAGGGCAACTTCAAACTGATGCTCCACAAAACCAATATGCAAAATTATTCTGAGTGAGCCTTAATACCATCTCCAGACTGAAGAGCGAGTTCTATGTCAGAGACAAGCAGAGACGTTGGTGTCCTAAGAAGACGACACCACAAGCAGACCGTTACCGTACTCTCACTGTCCGCACTTAGAAACCGTGAGCAGTCTGCTAAAGATTTGCAAAGTTTTGGTTGATGCCACTCTACCCAGACAATCTGCAATGATGTTAGCAACACATGCACTGAACATGAACATGCTGAGAGATGTTATGTTTCACAATGAATCCAGGTTCTGCCTATGGCAGCTGGGTCGTGGGGCTAAAGACCAACAATTTCTACTTGTCACATTTTAATTCTGAGGAACGTAACTTCTGGTTGTGAAACAGAGACTCAACAGCAGTGCTCACATGTTTCAAAGAATAGCTTGGACATTTCTCAAAGAACGTTAAGACCTGAAGACATTTTTTCTCTTTGGAATCTGAGGACAGAGACGGACCTGCAGACGGCCTCAGGATCAGTGGAGGCTCTCTTTGCACTTTGCTGTTTCTTTGTCTCTTTAACTTGTGTATTATATATTATTTTGTGTAGCTTTTACCTAGCATTTGGGGGAACATCCATTTGCTGTGATACGTGTCTTCACTGTAGTTTTTTCAGACACCTTGACTCTTTGCAAATAGTTCACAACAAAGATGTATGTTGTTATGAACAAGAGAACTGAATTAACTTTATTCTTGAAATCACAATGAGTCTTTTGTCAATGAATACACAATAAAAAATACACTCTGATATGTCCAACTTTTCAGTGAGATTCAGTACTGTGACATCCTGCTGTGATTATTTTATTGCAGTGCCGCTTCTTTTGTCATATTTGTGCTTCTTTTAACAAGAAATCTTGCTGACTGTTCATGACTTAATGTAAATGTATAAAGCGTGAATAATCAGTGTTTTTTAATGTAAAATCCATCTGCACCTAGAGCTTTGTAATTAAACACCCTCTACACTTTTTGCCAATAGCCCTCTTATTTCTTGCAAGAAATCCAACCAATGTGGCAAACAGTGCCACAAAGCATGTGCAAACCTTTTTTTGTATTTTCTAGTAGAGGAACAGTGCGATTTTAATATTTTCCACAAGAAAATCAATCTAAAGCGTGTCATTTTAATCTGATGCATATTTACAATATGTTTGTAGACACAGACTGCATAGACTATGGTGAAATATCTGCAACTTGAGTCATCAATGGGATCACATTGCGTGTGATTAACAAAGACGAATGTCAGTCACAAGACAAAAACAATCGTAGGCTGACTAATGCCAAAGTCTGCCAACAAAATACTGCTGACAACCCACTGACCACCTTTTTTTTTTCCAAGTCAGAGTTGGGAAGTGTGATTTGAGGTTTGCCCGACAGTCTCGACATGTTCAAATACAGCATGTGACTTATTGTCATTTAAGATTACTTAAATCATATTTTCCCTGTACACTGTTGTGTGTTATGTACAGTTCATTTGTGAACTTTGGACCACTGAAAACTTGAATAACTGGAAATCTTAAAGCGAAAGTTTTTCTTTACCTATGCTATGGAATAGCATGTCATGGTAGCATGGGTCGTCTTACATTTCAAATGTACGATGTTGGCTACCACACGTTGCCAGCAGTTTCACTTCACCTTGATCATGAATCCTCAAACCTACAGAGCTCCATTGGAGGTTGAAACACCAGTCTTAGAAGATAATTTCTCATAATTCGGGGTTTTAACAATGTTTTTGGAAAGCACTGTCAAGATCCACTTAATGTATAACAAATGACTGACAGTATTTATGAACTTAAACCATTCAGTGACCCTTGAGCCTTCTAGATGTTTAGACTATTGCACAAGAATCACTCCCATCAGGACAGAAATGTTTCAGCACTGGAGAAAATTGAGCAACTTTCTATTGATTAGTGTAAAAGAACAAAACATATCCTAAAAGTAGAAAAAGTTGATTTAAATCAATAAGAGACCCCTGCCTCATATCAGACTGAACTGTGTATTAGGTCTCTTTCAGGTAAGCATTGAAAAAGGAGGGCAAGCAAGAAAGATAACTTTCCAAAAGATGTCATTTAAAAAAAAAAAATTTAAAAAAATGTGTTCAGAGTTCAGTCTGACATGATTATTGCTACAAAAATGTTTTTGTGGGTCTGAACACAAACATTGTGTGTTAAAATCCATCAATCACTTGTGCAAGACATGTCTATAGCTGCCACATTTACTAAAGATACTGCAAATGTGTCTTATGTTAGGAAAGAGAAATGAGTTTGCTTTCAGATAATACAGTCCACTCCTGGGGCTGCAGGCATTTCACAAATCAGACACCACAATAGAAGAAAATCTGCTTCATTTATTTATGCATCTTGTATAAAAGCGTTCCACTTTACCTTACATCTACCATCTACAGTATATTGTTACATATAAGCAAAGGAAACTGCACATGTTTGTCAAGAGGCAGGTTATTAATAGATTACTACAAGACTACAGCCTGAAGGCACTGATGCTTTGGCTGGTTCGTTCTCACATTAGAAGTACTCAATACTGTCATCGTGACTCTTTGGGTGCTGCACACTGGACAGCTCGAGCTCTCCTCCATAACACGGGAGTTTCTTGTAAACACGGAGGTGAACGCATTCTTCTCCGCCCACATGGACCTGCAAGGAAGTGCAAGGAAGTGCAAGGAAAAGTTAGAAGAGATACTTAATGTGAACATAGAAGTACTCGTGATAATATAAGCCACACTGACCACACAACATGCTAACATGTAGGAAAGGAGGCGTTCATGTCTTCATTACAGAGTGGACTATGGATCGAGTGATCAAAAACACGGATGAGTCATATTAGACTAAGAAAATAAAGCTGCTTGTGCTTGTGAGACTTTATTGAAGCTCTGGGGGAGTGTTGTGCAAATGTGTTCCAAGCCATCATACACAAGTACTGGAAGCACTGGAATGACTTGTTTTGCCCATTAACACTAGGTGTGTGAAGCACACATGTACTTTCATCTTCCTTTGCATATTTTTCTCAAAATTTAAATACATTTAACCAAAACTTAGATTAAAAGCATCAGCTGTGATGAATGACACTTAAGACTAGAAAATCAACAGTGTAAGGTTTGCATGAACTTCTATATATGACCACATAACTACATAAGCCTAGAGATGGTAAAGAAAGAAAATCACTGATAATCGTGTTAGTTTTCACTTGATGGATCAGATTATCTACAGTTAATGCTCTTATTGATGATATTTTATTATATGCAAGACCTCGGAGCTTTGCAGTGTTTCCACTGAGCTCACTGCTTGCATTACAAACATTACCTTAATGAAGTAGTTGGTCCCAGCTACGACCTGTGTTTTGTAGTTCTTTGCAGTGAAAACCTCGAAGTTTCTCCCGGTTTTCTGCTCTGCGTGAGGCTTCATCTGAATAACAATGACAGCAACATCAATAAGAAGCACAGGCCCCGTGTGTACAAAATTTTAAGTGTAAAATCTCTCTTTTCTACTCACTGCATCACAGATCTTCTGAACTTCTTCATCAGCCTGCTTCGCATCGGTCAGCCCTCCGCACATCGGCATTTTGACAAGTTTTTGGCTGTGAAAAACGACGAAATAGTGAATAAACGCACGTAGAGCCTGTTTTTATAGGTCGTTCGGTGAGTCAGCGAGTCATATGACGCCGCATTTTGGACCGTACCATCGGCATAGGGGGAGAAGGGGGTGGTATTTGCAAACGATTGTGTAAAAAACAAAGAAAAAAAAGCTCACATAATCAGATATGCTAAGACAAGAAAACAATGAGTAGCTTTTCACATTTTTATACATTGATTTTGTGTTTATAGGATAAATCTTCTAAATGTTTGTACACGTATTTTTAGTCCGTACGCCTTTTACTGCATGTGTTGGTTAGTGCGAGCGTATGACAGCTGACTGTCGAGTCTGCCGGGAAGTGAAAATACAGGGTGTGATCTGTGATGTTTGGAGAGGATCACACATGAATCACGGCCTAAAAAACTGCTTTCAGCTCTTCCTTTCCGGTTATCGTACTTCGGATATCTGAACCTCAGCAAACCACAGTTCCCCAAAGTACTGAGTGGGTACTGCTCTCTGTGGTTCAGAAATTATTTTATTGCTATTATTTGTTGTTTAAGGCTGAATTAGAATTAGATTTTACCCAGCTCATTGGTTTCTTAACCAGGGGAAATCTTCTTCTACCTAATTATTACTTGTTTAAAGTTAATATTTAAACCTGGAAATGTTAGATGAAAAAATAAAAACCAAAAAGGAGACTTGAATGACTACAACGGCAGCAAAAAAGTAAAACGCGGAGATGAAAAACCAGCCGCAAAGTGACACAAGCTAAAGAAAAAAAAATAAAACACAGACTGACAGCTGAATATGACTTGGAAGGCTGCAATAAGGGCACTACATAGACAGACATAATCAAGGAGCGACAAATAACACAGAAAAGCCAAACTAGTGCACACATAAACCAAACAACCTCACAGATACATATGACATGTCTGGATTTTTTAGTTTTAGATAGTTATGCGTCTCTTGTAGTTTGGGTGTCTTGTATGTAGAAAAGACAGGAAGAGCCTGAAAGAACAGGATTACTCGGAAACCTCAAGCTGTGGTGCTAACAGTCCACGCCTCTGCATGTGATGTGGTTACCATGGCCAGCAGGTCAGACAGCATTGCTGAAGAAGCTTTGCCTGGTATTTGAACTGAATGAGTCCAAGGAGTAAAAGGTGCAGCAGTGGATTTCTGGACAGGGTGCAACTCAACTCTAGGTCAGGTGACTGTGCAGGCCAGGCCATGTGGCCCACCATCTCATCACTCTCCTTCTTGGTCAAATAGCCCTTACACATCCTGGTTTTGGGGGTCATTGTCCTGCTGAAAAATAAATGATTGCCCAACTAAATGCAAACTGGATGGGATGGCAGGTTGCTGCAGGATGCTGTAGTAGCCATGCAAAGCACAAATTTCCACTGGTCTAATTTCCTTGTGTTTCTTGGCCCAACCAAATCTCTTCTGCTTATTGTTTTTCCTTAGTAGTTGTTTCCCAGCAGCTATCAAACCATAAAGGCCTGATTCGCACCGTCTTCCCTGAACAGTTGATGTCAAGATGTGTCTGCTACAGGAACTTTGTGTGACATTTATCTGAGCTCTGATCTGAGGTGTTGTTAACTTGGGATTTCTGAGGCTAGTGAGCATTTTTTCAGAATTTGTCTTCAGCAGCAGAGGTGGGGCGGTCCTCATGTCAGCCAGTTTTGTTGTAGCGCTTGATGGTTTTTGCAACTGCACTTGGCAACACATGCAAGTTTTTTTTAAGTTTTCCAGACTGGCTGACCTGTAGTTCTCAAAATAATAATGGACTGTGGTTTCTCTTTCCTTAGCTGATTAGGTCCTGCCATAATATGAATTCTGACAGCTGTCAGCTGTGTACCAACCTGACTTCTGCACAACACAACTGATGGTTTCAACCCCATTTAGAAGGCAAGAAATTCCACAAATGAACCCTGACAAGGCACACCTGTGAAATGAAAACCATTTCAGGTGACTAAATCATGAAGCTCTTTGAGAGAAGGGCAAGGTTTTGCAGCGCTGTCAACAAAGCAAAGGGCTGCTACTTTGAGGAAGACATCCTGTTGCCTACATCAGCCGTAAGCTGCTACCAAGGGAGAGCCTCTACGCAACGGTGAAGAAGGAAGCCTTGGCCATTAAATGGCACTTGACTCATTCAAATATTATTTGCAGGGAAGAGAATTCAAGATTCAAACTGACCAGAAAACCCTGACCCAAAACCCTGCAGTGGCTAAAGAGAATGAAGGACAGTGATGAGAGAATCATCAGATGGTATTTTGCGCTGCAGCCATACCAGTTTAAGGTTCATTACATCCCTGGTAGAGACAACGCCCCTGCTGATAACCTCTATCGAGGAAAGACCAAGAAGTGGGTGTGTGTGACTACATCATAAACTTCATTGAGAGAAGGCCAAGGGTTTGCAGTGCAGCAAACAGAGAGTATGCATGTCAGTATGTATCTACAATGTAGAAAGTGTTTTTTCTTTAAAAACAAAAACATTGTATGAGAAGGTTTGTCAAACTTTTGACTGATAGTGTATATGTGGACTTTTAATGAGGTAACATTTTTTTTACTGGTTTGTGGGCTGGTTATTGAGCAACATGAAAGACATATGCATATTTTTGAACCTACATTAACAGCCCATTACAAACTTTCAGCAATGTCTGTAGTAAGTGGTGGTGCAATTACACAAGCTAATGTAACATGGGGATAAAACTGGATGTTAACGTTAACACGGATAAATCTGTCATCACGAATAATGTGATTAACATTTTTAACGCAATTAACCCATCTGGAACGCAGAATGACTCAAAATCTCTAAAATGTCTCAACGCCGTTTCAGTTTTCAGTTTTATTTGTCATATGCAAGATAGCACAGGGTCAACATTGCAATGAAATGTGTTTGATGAGCAGCAGTCACTCAGCAGCATGGTACAGTAGAAGAAAAATATAATATAATAAAATAAAATAATAAAAAAAAATAGAAAAATAGTAAAGAGCAAAATATTAGAGAGACATGGTAAAAGAGAAAAGATGACTAAATATATCCATCCATCCATTCACATCCGCTTATCCTTTTCAGGGTCGCGGGGGGTGCTGGAGCCTATCCCAGCTGTCATAGGGCGAGAGGCAGGGTACACCCTGGACAGG